CCCTCGTTCGCTAGGCTCCCCGTCTCAACCATCAGGTCCGTCAGGTACAACACATTTTACTTTGATTGTTAGACGATAACGTCAACCCAGACCGAATCTGCGCCGACATCATGCATCCAAACGAGTTGAAATCGCCTCGACCAGCAGCAAAAAATCGAACCGACGACGAAATACTACAATCAAGCTCCAAGAGAGCATGCGGAGTCATTACGGGCGGGATATTGAAATGTTGCTGGATTGAATGCGCGTGCTCGTGTCGATGTGGCAGGCGTCAATAGCAGTCAGGCGCGACAGACGGCAGCGGCAGACGACCCGCCAGTCGTCAGATCTTTGTTACACTGGCGACCTCAGACAACTCGGACAGCAATTTGATCATACTCAACACGGATGCATGATGTCGACAACGAACGCGGGGTTTCTGGTGTCGACAAGGTCGAGACGTGGTCGTTCAGGCTTGGCTGACCTCTTTGTCTCGTTCGTTTGCAGCTCAGCAATGGCCCGCACAAAGAACAACACGGAGCGAAAGCAGAGGTCGGCCCTCCAGGACGTTGTCGCCCGGGAGTACACCATCCACCTTCACAAGAAGGTGCACGGTGAGAGCTTCAAGAAGGTGCGGCGCTGTGGCTGTTTTGCGGGCGTGCGCACGACCAAGACAATCCGTTTCTGATATCGTTATCATGTGTTTGCTGTCTACTGCAGCGTGCTCCTCGTGCTATCAAGTCGGTCAAGGAGTTTGCTACCAAGACCATGGGCACCAAGAAGGTCTTGATCGACGTTGGATTGAACCAGGCCATCTGGGGCAAGGGTATCAAGAACGTCCCTCACCGCATCCGAGTTCGATTGTCGCGCCGCCGCAATGATGACGATGACGCACCAGCTGTGAGTGTCGTCGATGCCAGGTTTGTGGCTCGAGCGCGTAGTGCTGATCGACTGTTTCGGATCGTGACAGGACGAGAAGTTGTACACTTTGGTTACCTACGTCCCTACCAAGGACTTCAAGGGTCTTCAAACAACCACCGTTGATGCTGAGGACGAGGCAACTGCTTAAATCTCGAACTTCAACGCTCCAGTTCTGAGATGGGAGGGGGAGAGAGAGGTAGCCAGCTTTTGTTACATCGCCTGTCGATTGTATTCACATGACATCAACACTGAGATTACTTGTGCATCGCGCCTGTCAGTTGGACCTCTGAATGGGATGACCGATTGAAGCGTCGCGGGTCACGAGACCTCGGCGATTTTGCGATACAATACAACGCAATCTGAATTTTGAGAAGCATGCATGGACGCGAGCTCGAGCTCAGAGCTGACGAGCGAGTCGCGACGGTGGCGGCTGAGCAGCCCTCGGACCAGGCAGGAAATTGTCAAGTCGGGCATGACATCACAGAAAGGAGAGTGGTGATGTTGTCTACACACAAGCAAGGTTCGCTCCGCCAGACAGGCGAGCAAGGTCATCAGGGAAACCGATAAGAAAAAAACTAGTTACAAATCTATTGAAAGTCCGGAGAGATGCCCCTTGTTCACTTCTTGGCAGCTGCAGGCGAGTCAAGGATCGCTGTGACAATGCCAGTGCCGACTGTGAAACGTAGAGCTGCCGGTCAGCGACGGAGACACGACTCGCTTCACGAAAGCTGCGACTTGCCTGTCTTGCCACCTTCGCGCAACGTGAAACGCGAGCCAACTTCGAGAGCCACTTCGTGAACGAGGTCACCGACGACTTCAACGTTGTCACCAGGCATGACCATCTTTTCGTCAATATTTTCGGTGCCTTCAGGGAATGTCAAACCGACCGTGACGTCAGATGTTCGGATGAACAATTGAGGTCTGTAGTTGTTCATGAAAGGTGTGTATCGACCACCTTCTTCCTTTGTTAGGATGTACAAGGATGCGGTGAACTTGCGAACAGGTTTGATCGTGCCAGGAACGGCCAAGACCATGCCACGCTTGATCTGTTCGCGTTTGACACCACGAAGCAGCGCACCCATGTTGTCTCCTGCCTCGCCGCGATCGAGTTCCTTGTGGAACATTTCAATGCCTGCAAAAAGGTCGAGACATGAGCGATCTGATCATTCGAGCGTTGACACTTCAAGACTCGCCGGTCAAGGTTGTTTTCAGGTGCGAGCCCATGCCAACAATCTCGATTTCAGAACCTTTTGTGATGGTGCCTCGTTCGACACGACCGGTGACGACAGTACCGCGACCTTGGATCGAAAAGACGTCCTCGACGGGCATCAAAAATGGCTTCTCAAGGTCACGAGGAGGTTGGTCAAGCCAGCTGTCGACGCTTTCCATCAGTTCGACGATCGACTCTTTGCCAATCTTGTCGTCTCGTGACTCGAGCGCCGCCAATGCCGAGCCTTTGACGATGGGTGTGTTTTCACCGTCGAAACCGTACGTCGACAACAAGTCTCGCATTTCCATCTCAACAAGTTCGAGCATCTCTGCGTCATCAACCTGGTCGACCTTGTTGATATAGACGACGAGCTTCTTGATACCGACCTGTCGAGCGAGCAACAAGTGCTCACGAGTTTGAGGCATTTGACCGTCTGAAGCTGACACGACAATGATGCCACCGTCCATCTGAGCAGCACCGGTGATCATGTTTTTGATGTAATCAGCGTGGCCAGGGCAGTCGACGTGGGCATAATGACGATTCTTTGTCTGGTACTCGACATGGGCAGTGGCGATCGTGATACCTCGAGCCTTTTCTTCGGGAGCCTTATCAATCATGTCGTAAGCCAAAACCTTGCCTGAGCCACTTGCTTCGGCCAAAACTTTGGTGATGGCAGCCGTCAATGTCGTCTTGCCGTGATCGACCTGCAGAGCTTTCAGAGGTCAGAGGGCTGCGAAGGTTCGTCCGGAATGTTGGACTCACGTGACCGATCGTTCCAATGTTCATGTGAGGCAAAGAACGAGAAAATTTGCCGCCTGCCTCAGTCGCGTAGGTTGCTCGTGGTGCTGCAGAGCGTTACCTAGTTCAGCTGATCGCTCAGCGCCGAAAAAGGACGCGCTGGCTTACCTGCCCATCGAGCGAGCTGAGGGACAACAGCCTGTCGCAGCACTGATCTTGTGGATGCAAGAGCACTTGTGGCCAATGCAGGTCGAGCTGCGACCGACACTGTGGACGCCAGGGTCAGCGACGGCAGCCGACCACTTTTCGCTCGAGCCATGCCAGCTTACATGATCGTGCAGGCGCTACAGCAGCAGCGCCAGTTCGCTTTGCCGTCAATCGCAATGCAGCACGGGTTGGCAACATGGTGGGTCGGGGCAAAGGTGGCAAGAGTTCAACCGGGCTGATCCTCTCTCGCGCTTTCGTCGCCGGGGTTTCCCTCTTACCGCAACCACACTTCGCACGTCATGTATGCAGACAATAGCTCGTTGCCGTCACTCTCATCATCTGCGCAATCTCAGGTGCAGCCTGTAACATGGCTCCCGCGATGAAAGGCGTCGCGGACCGTGCCCTCACTAGTGGACTAGTCGCCTGCGTCTACCAACGCGCGAGCATAGATACAAAGCACCATGCACGGTCGCCCTCGATCAACGTTCGACAAATTCGGTCTCCTATGCCGGCGCAGCTTACAATGTGGTCCCCGGGGCAAAGGCGTGCCTTTTAACGACAATCGCCTAGGACATCGACTGCTCGATCATCCTGGCTAGCCTACTTCGACTGCCGGTCGACCACATCGAAGATCTCGACTTTGTTTGGCTCGAACTCGAAGTTGCCGAGTTGTTGCGGGACGGCATGCCGCGCACCCAGACCGATCAAGATAGTGTCACTGCATTCGGCCACGGCAATCCTTCGAGAGTTGGGGACATCGGCAACAGCAAGCGCGAGGCGTGGTGGGTTTGCTTGCGGCAACGGCTCCGCAGCCATGCCAAGCGATTTCTCGAAGAGCGACTGTGCGACTGTCACAGTTTGGTGGCTTTCTGTGCTGTTTGCTCATGTCGATTTCAACTAACGAGTTCGCATTCGGGCCGACACATTCAAGAATGCCGAAGAGATACGCTAACCTTGCTGCCGCACTCTTGATTTTGAGAGAGTCCCATCTCGTTCGCGTCGAGGAGATTGATTCAAGAACGACAGAAGAAATTCCAGCACCCTGGACTTCAGCTTGCGTTTCAGCTTTCCATGGGCCCGTCTTGCCATCTCCTGCTTACACCATATTTCAACAGCTTCGGCAAGCATTTGTATACGAGCACCGAGCATGATAGTGAAACAACAACTGATTTGAGGGCCAAGAAGGGGTCAGCGACCGGCATGCAGCGCCACTCGGCTCTCGTAATTGATCTCGGTCAGCCTTCTAGTAATACTTTCGCATTCGTTCGTCATTCGCGATCAGTCCTTGAATGACGAGCAGACCTCAAACAAACGACAGAATTGGCAGATTGAAGGTGCAATTGGAACAACAATTCATGAAAAAATGACACAGGAAAACGAGTTCACGCAAAAACCCAAGCACGATGGTTAAGGGCCAGGGTGAATGACATCTTCAGAACCAGAAACTTGACGCGTCGCTTCATTCAGATTTCTGCGATTCGCGAAGAATACTCCAACTGCCTGACATCATTGATTTCGAGTGGGTTGCAAGCGACCTATTGCAAGAGATCGAATTTGACGCAGACAACCCGTCGAATCTTTGGCCCTACAATGAATTCGTGGCAATGATGAATGATCAATCTTTGAACAACATCGAACAATTTGATCTCGACCAACGTGAGCTGGGCTTTGCCACTTCGATGCTGGACGCCATCAGTCGAGCCAACAAGACCGAGAAAACGGCCAAGTCTTCTGTCATCGAGTCCAAGAGATTCCGAAAGCTGCTGGAGACTTTGATCACATCAACGCCGAGCCGTGGTGGCGACAGTTGTGCTCAAAGCTGAGAGAGTACTGCACGGAGACGTTGCAAACAAAGATGCGCCAAATCGTGAGCTGTAGATGAGATTAATGAACTACAGAGTGAGGGCCTCGTCCAAGAGACGTGAGGCTCACGAGCAAAAAAAAAAGATGCCGGTGGGATTCGAACCCACGCGCTCAAGAGCAGGGGCATGCCAGTCTGAGTAGTAAACCCCCGTAATAGACCACTATACGACGGCATCGTTGTAAATTTGGATGCTCCAAGTGGAAATGCAACGGCTATAAAAATCAGACCAAGCGTGGGGAAAAGTCCGCGGACATGTTGTGATGAGGGCTGTTGTCGTTTTGTGTACTGCAGCCCCATGCGGTTGTGCCGTATTTGGACTGCGGTGATGTTTCGGTCGTTTTTGGCGGCGAAGTTCCATTTTTGGGCTTTATTCGCTTGTTCAGCCATCGTTGACGCCTTGACAAACTGAATTCCACGTCCATCCTCTTCCTCTGGCGAATACTTTTCATTCCAGTCCCTTCGTGGTGGAGGGTATTGTCGCACACAAAGAGCTGTACAAAAAAGCATAAAATATCGCGTATGTGTAGGCTGAAGTGTGATCGCACTCGGACTGTCGGACCGGCAGCAGAAGCTGTGACAGTAGTGCTGATATTGCAGAAAGAAGAAGAGTTACAAGGGCCAAACCGGGTCGAGTTCAGACGCGCGCATAGCTTGGACACAGCTCAGGCCTCTAAATGCCTCGACCTCCCCAAATGCAATGAGCTTGGGCCGCCGAACTCACCAACTCTGTACTGACACACGTACTATCTCGCAAGGGGCTTTGTGTGAGCTTTTGGCGCCCATTCGATACTGAAATCTAACCTCTCGTTACATTTCGTCCTTCCTGGTTGCCGGCAATGCTGCCACCTCTCCCCCTGTTTCGGCAACAGAGGTTTATCCGACCAATAAATTGATGATCTTTCCTCTGACAGCTAGTCCCAGACTAATGGTTTAAGGCAACCATTGTACATGAAGGAATTTTGGTTCCTTCCTTCTGGTTGTTGAGTTGCCTGTCTAGGCAGTGGCATCACAATGTAACAACTCTCAGATATACCAAAAAATTGACAATGAACCGATTGATTCGGCGAGGCTTAAATAAATGTCATCGCCCTGGAGGTGGTGGGATCTGAGAGCCGTTACCGAGATGGTCCGAGTCCGACAGAGCGAGTTGGACAGACTCGAGTGTAGGGACGGACGATTACCGACAGCGCTGGGAGACACGACCTCAATTTTTTTCCGAATCCGCAGCATTGACCAGCATTACTTGCCATGCATTCAGCTTTTCGACACAGCTTCCAGACCTGAGGAGATCTCGACAGCGACAATCGCGCCTGGTGCACGCTGTCGCCGACAGTTTGAGGCGTTGTCGCGCTCATATCCGTGGAGCAGTGAAAAGAGCGCGCTCACACGGATGGCAACGTGTCGCTTGAGACGATATGTTTTAGTCGTGCTCCATCGGAGCTGGTCGTCTGCAACGCTGGGTGCACCGCGACCAGTGACGGTGGCGTTCGAACTTGCCAAGCACAGGATCACTTTCACAAAGCTCACCCTTGCGAAACAAAGCTGGCAAGCAACATGCTTGTCAGCTACTTGGTCTCTTGATTAGAGGCACTGCAGCGCAGAGCCACAGTATTGAGCGAACCGCGTGAGCCACTGTCCATTGAACTAATGAGCGCAAGGCGACTCAGAGAGCGTCGTTGCAGGCAAACAGAAGACAAGGGGTCGGGAAGCGTACATGAAACAGAGCAAAGGTAAGCCGGCGTCAGATGTAACACAAGCTTTATGCAAGCAGAGTCACTGATCATTCGAGTTCAGAGTCAAGAATGGCCGCTCATCCAACCACGAGACACGCGTTGATGCAGCCACCAAGCAAGTCGTCGATGAACCCTCGAGCGCATTCACACTGAGACAGTCGATCTCATCAGCAACTCGAACCGCTGTACCATTTCAGTGGACGCACCTTGGTCTTGCCATTCGTCAAAGCAATCAGACGATTGGGAGCCAAGCATTGCTCGCCAGAAACGCACAATTCCTTGCCGTCGACAACGGCAGCGTAATATCCAAGGTCACATTCACATCCACAAGATCCCGAGGCGCACACGGGACTGGCATTGGCTGGGCAAGGTGGACATTGCTGCGAGCCAGAAGGCGGTTTGCCATTGTTGAAGACCTCGACGCAGGCACAGACCTTTAAAAGGTTGAGAACCTGGATACGCGACTGGAGACCTATGACCCCGTTGTTGCTGCACTGACCAGGCTCTATGCAAGAAGACTGCATCAGCTCCGCTGTAGCGCCTCTCAAAAAGTCGGACTCACTCAAGACGTCGGCGAGCACGTTGACGTTAATGAGCGAGTTGCCTGGGACGAGAATATTAGGGTTGAGAGTTGCCAAACCTAAAATGTCTAGTGGAGCAGTGGCGTTGCCGGGATTGACAGCGGCGGCAACAGAGGCGGCGGCAGCCGTAACGAGCACAATGAAAGCTCGAGCGAGGGAAGAAAGCATTGCTTTGGTGGGCTGGAAAAGAGTGTGTGGCGAGTGTCAAACGAATGTGAAGATGATGTGTCGAGTCTCTGTATGTTTGTGATGTGAAAGAGAAGAAGCGACAAGAGGTTGACTCGGTCGAATCTCTCCTGCTGCCTTCGCAGGAGTGTTACTAGCGGGCTAGCGCGGCAGCCTTTGCAATTTGGAGCGGCTGCTCGGCAAGAACAAGCATGACGTCGGTTGTTCTCTCGACATGGCACTTTGACATGAAAGTTGGGTTTGGTTCCACGAAAGAAAGCTTGGTTGCTATCGCATAGATCTACTGTGAAACCTTCCCAGGAGGGCAACCCACCAGTTGCAGGAGCTTTGGAACGTCTTCGCAGAGGAAGGCAAATGCCGATAGCAGCAAGCAAATGCACACAATGACGATGTCGCGGTGCGAGCCCAGTCGAAGAGCTTGGCGGATCGTGACAACTGTTCTGCGCTTGCACACGTCGTCTTCTAGCGTGAACAGGGTTTACCTCTCGAGCAGTCGCAAGTAGACTCTGAAGAACGATGTCGACGACGAAAAAATCACGCAGCTGCACGCTGAGAACGCAAAGGTACACAGCACTAGTTCAGTTCATGCAGACAACGCTCCTGCCATTTTTGTCCACCCGGAAGGTGCACCGAACGCCAGTAAGCTCGGCAAATCTTCCTTTTTTCGAGATGGCGGGCCTGCCCTCGGTTGACACGATGGCAGCTCATGGACTCGAGGACTGCTCTCAACTAGCGGGACAGCACTTGCGCCAGGTGAAAAGCTGAAGGTCGGTGCACGACCTCAAGACGAACCAAGATGACATTGGCAACTGGCTGTGGCTGGAATTCCACATGCTGCATTTGTTATGCCACATGGAGAAAATAACGAGACGAGTAAAAGCAATTGAGAAATGTCCTCTGCAGCAAGCATCAAATTTGTCGCCCCAGTCACGTGTCTACCCCGTCGCGCGTGTGTATGCTGCGTCAATTATGCACGCGACCTGTGTGCGTCTGTCGCGCAAGCTACCATCCAAACAGACTGACATACCTACCATCGACCTGACAAAAGTAGCCTCGTATGCAGCAGACTCGTAAGCTATTTCAGCATCAATTGAGGGGCGAGGCCACTTAACTGCGTTTCTCCGTCAAGTGCAAGTCAAGCGCGTCGCCAAACGCGTGGTTGTCAGCACATCTCTTCGAGTCATCTTGCGCGGCAGCAGGAAACGTCAGCACTCAAATCCACCCGTGACGACTGGATCTGATCGCGCGGTGTCGAGCAATCGTCGTTGTCACGGAATGGCTCCTGGCGATCACGACGGCGCGCCAACTCGAGTGGCGGTGACGCGAGCCCTGCCAACGAATCCGTCACGTTCAGCGTCGCTTGTCGTGTCGTCAAGGTCGAGACAGCAAGTTGTAGACTCGCCTCGAGGTCAGTCTTTTGCCGTCTTGCGGGTTTTGCTGCCGCTGCTGCTCGCTGCTGCGTGCTCTACGGAACCCGGCGCAAGCGACTGTCGAATGGCTCGAAATTGACGCCGGTTGACACGACAGGACCCATCAAATTTGCCATTCCTCCAAGACGACAGTATCAACAAGCACAACAGCATCATCAACCCCTACCACCGCAACATGAGTCGCCGCGATCGCCAGCAGCCCTATTCAAGCGGTTGTCTCGGACGTTGTCAAACTCTGGCACGGCCCAGCTCGTTCGACGCGTCTCGGGAAGCAAGAAGCCTTCGAGCGCCAGGCAATCCCGCTCGTCGTCACCACCTCAACAAAGACTGACGGTGCCAGAAATTCACTTGCTGCACGATGAAGTAGAACGCGATGCGCAAGGTCCAACGCTATGCGATTGGGACGAACACGTTCCAAGTGGCGGGGCAGCCTTGCTGAGAACTCGAGGGTTGCGCGCTTTGGGCCGCAGCAGAAGTGAAGGACAACGACGTGTTAGAGTCGCCAAAGAAGAGGAAAAAATGGACGAACTGGTCATGCGCACGGAACTGTCGAGCAGAGGCGAAGACGCATCAGACGTGCGCAGCGGCATGGGCAGTTACTTTTGGAGCGACTCGCTCGGTTTGTGCTGGGACGGGCGAGAACAAGGTCAGTCGACAGGTCTTTCGCTACGTTGAATGGAGGCTGACCTCACCGTGCAAGCAGTGCACCCCGACTTGCTCGCTGGACAGCCGACGTATTCGTCAGACGCAAATTTTGTCCCGCAATCTTCCCGTGTCGTCTACGCATCTACTCTCTCGACCTTCCCGCCGCGACCTCCGCTCCGACGGTTGTCGTCTGCCAACCAGGAATCTGCCGGACCCAAGCTCAGCGAGGCGCAAGCAATCGCGGCGGCGTATCGCGATGCGAATCCAACGTGCACGGCCACCGATGTCTTTGCATCGTCATCAAATGTTTCGTCTCGTGGGGTACCGTCACCTGCACCGATGGCGCCTCCTACGAGCTCGACAGACGTTAGGACATGCGCCCGATCTGTCGCCTCGGATAGTTCAAGTTCGGACAGTCCCAGCGAGCTGAACATGGCCGCACGTGTCAATGGTCGGGACAGTGCTGAAAGTTCAACTAGCATTGAATCAATCAGCGACGGCTCGTCATCCACGTCGTCACCATTGCGAGCAGCATTCGCGCGCAACCGAGCGAGAAAGACTGCCGCGCTGCCACCATCGCCGCTAGGACTGTCAGATGTC